ATCGAGTCCTGAGTCAGGCTGGGAGCCTGATGTCAGTGTGAGCCTGCTTATCCCTCTGCTTGCTGGTCTCCCTGCTTGTGCTCTTTCTCTCTTTCTCATTCTTGCTCTCTCACATATAAATATATAAAAAATTAAAAAAAAAAAAAAAAAAGTAGAAAAAAGCCTTTTGTAGTCTAGCCTCCCCCAAAAGCAGAACACAGGACAGAGGTTTGTGTGCAGGCAGTTTACTTGGGAATGTATTCCAAAGGCAGAGTGAAAGACAAGGGGAGTGAGACAGGAGGGAGAGCCAATACAAGGATGCATTGTCAGGCTGGCCTGTCCATAGGCAACTGGTGCTCAGTCTTGCAGGATCTTTGAGGAGCCTTGGAATCTCTTGTAGGAGACTGAAGGGGAAAATATTTGTCCATTGACCTCTGTCCCCTGTTAGTCATAGGTGGTCTCACAGGCATTGACTCCTCTCTGCCTTTCAGGACCTAGCAGGTTGTCCATAGGTATCTGCAGATGTCCCTCACAGGACACCAGAGAAGCCCCAGGGCAGGAATCAGCCATATGTGGTGTAGATCCTTGAGGATGCATTGGTAGGTTATACCTGCGCAAAGCTGGTCAAAGTCTCTGGCACTGGACTGAGACCAGAGGATTTGGAAGGGAACAGAAGGTGTACCTCTCACAGAGGTGGAGCTCTTCCAGAGCTAAAGAAACAAAGAAAGCAGAACTTAATGAACTAAAAGGAAATAGAAAAGAGTGGTGTTCTAAATAAATAGAAAAATTTGTTCTTTAAAAATAAAACAACATTCAAATAGACAAACCATTGTTCAACTTAACTTTATTAGTCTGCTCAGGCCACCATAACAGAATACCATAGACTGCATGGCTCAAACAACAGAAATTTATTTCTCACAGTTCTGGAGGTGAAAAGCCTAAGTTTAAGGTGCCAGACAATTTGGTTCTTGGCAAGGGCTGTCCTTGGGTTGCAGATGGCTGTCTTCTCACTGTGTCTGCATGTGGTGGAAAAAGAACTCTGGGGTCTCTTCCTCCTTTTTATAAGGGCACCAGCCTTATCAGAGTAGGGCCCCACATTTATGGCTTTGTTTAACCTTATTACCTCCTCACAGGTCCTATATCCAAATATAGTCATATTGGGTGATAGACTTCAACCTATGAATCTTGGGGGGACATGTTCCATCCGTAACATTAACAAAGGGGAAAGGATGTAGAAAGCACATATATTCAAAAGTGGGAAAGGCACAGTGGCTCCAGATATGGAGGAAATGGAAAGAATCGTGAACCTGTGTTTTCCACAACTCTGCACTCAAGTTGAAATCCTAGAAGACATGGATGATATTTTAGGGAAACACATATTTTCAAGACTGACTTTGGGAGCATTAAAAAACCTGAAAATAAGCAGTCCAAATGTTTTGAAAACAGTGAACAAGTCGTGCTGGGTCATGGGACCCTAGATGATATAATGATCCCCTCTCGCTGGGAGCTGAGGCTCTGGCTTCTTCACTATCAGAGGGCTGGAGAACATGAGGAGGCAGCCTGGGACCTCAAAGGTAAGCCTGGGCCATGCGGGAGGCTGGCTGCCCAAGATCTCCACAGAGATAGTGGGGCTCTTGAGGACACTCAGCTGTGTGAGGGAGCAGGCAGGATGTAGGGGAAAAGCTGTCTCCTCCAGCTCCCAGGGGCCTGACTCAGGTCTCTGTGCTGGGGCCACAGCCCTGCCAGCCTGGCTTCTCCTGCAGTGTAATCGAGGGTGATGCTTGTTTAGAGAAAAACAAGCAAGTCCAAGATCTTGGTAATGTTCTCTTTCTTAAGCTGAATTGTTGCTATGTGGGTCTTTGTTTTATTATGCTTTAGGCCCTGAGTACATTTTATGTCTGCTCTTGTGTATGTGACATGTGTCAGAATTGTGAAATCCTAGGGTTCCTGGCAATGAGCATCAGTGCCATGGCTGGGAGGGGTCCTGGGCACTGAGCCAGTGAACGGATCGCCCCCTTCTTCCTGTGGCAACTCCCGCGGGCACTCCTATCTGGACACCGGCTGCCTGCGCCTCACATCTGCGACGGGCTGTGTTGTTCCTCCTGGCACGGGACTCGCCTCACACTTGTCTCTCTCTGTTTTTCCTCAGCTCCAGCCCTTCTCTGAGAGGGGGAGCAGGTGATGGCAGCCATGCTCCTGACAGCCTGGCCCCAGGTGAGCTGTGGCTCCTTCAGCTCTTCCTCTGAACAGTTTCACATTGAAGAAAACTGAGAAGGGAAGCTGGTGAGCTTTGTGGTGGAAGCTGGAGGGGCCCTCCTTGCTTCTGCCTGGATCTTGTGGGAAGAATGGTGATGTGAAGGGATGTAAGCAACCAGAGAGCGTCCCTGAAGGCAGGAGTGAAGTGGTCTGCACACCGAGGTTCTTTGCTCCTCGGGTGAATAGGGGACATGGAAGCTGCTCATGGAGGATGCTCCATGCATGGATGTGAATGGAGGGGGATAGCAGAGCATTAGGATGCCCAGGGACTGGGCTGTAGGTGAAGAGGAGTAGTAGGACCAGATCATCACAAAGGGTGACTGTGCCTCTAATTTGGTGGGGATGGCGAGATGAGAGGAGTGGGGTCTGGAGAAGGAAAAAGGAAGTCCTATGGGACAGGATGTCTCATTGTGTCCTGGAGAGGCTTTCAGGGCTTGGGTGCAGGGGCTCCAACTTTAGGTCTCTGATAAGAGCTCTGGACCCTCCCCCGCTCAGGAAAATAAGCATGCAAACCAAATTCTCCATACAATTTCAGGGACTTCACGGACCCCTAAAGCGCATCCATGGACCTCCATGGACTACAGGTTGGGAATAATCATAGTCACAGTAACTCCAGTAACATTGTTTGAGGCTTGCTGCGCTGCAGGCACCATACTAAGCCCTTGCATGGATCGCTCAGTCCTGACACCTGCCCTCTGAGATAGGTGCTGTGTTGTGCTCATTCTGTCACAAAAGACATGAAGGCAAAGGGGAGTAGAGTGCCTTGCCCAAGGTCATACAGCTGGTGTTTGATTCTTAACTGCTCATCCCTGTGACATGTGTGCAACCTGTGAAGTTAATGTGGTCAGAGTTGTGATGGCTTTCAAGGGAATAATTTTTAGGGGTGACTCAAAAAGAAGCTGACCACTTCAGAAAATTCCATTGGTCCAGGTGTGGTGTGGGCTTCATCAAGGAAAGTAGTTGTTAAAGAATCCAATTCAAGTAATGCTTAACATAAAGATCTTTAGGATGTTGAGAGTCAAAGGACTGGGGGTAGGGTAAGGGAGAGGGAAGAGTCAGGAACAATCCCCAGGTTTCTGGCTGAGATTTCCTGCACAGATGTTGGGGGATGTTTGAATTCAGCAGGTGGCGCCAACGTACTAGGGTAAAGGGTGGTGGTGGCGGCAGTGAAGGCATTTAATATTGTTCAGAGAAGTTCCAAGGTCACAGAGGAGTGACTTGCAGACTCACCCAGAGGTTGGACTAGAATTGCTGATGGGTGGAGGTCAGTGGAAGGAAGCAAGACAGATCCTGACAGAGAGGAATTGAGGGCATACCCCTGCCAGTGCATCCCCAAGGTTGTTACAAAAGACTGAGGGGGGCAGAGAGAGAGAGAGAGCGACCAGAGGCTGCAGCTGCCCAAAGGGAGCCATCAGCCCTGATGCAGAGAAACAGTGAGTTCTTGGGTAAAGTTGGAAAGGACGAGAGGCATGAATGGGAGAGGGTAACAGAAAATGTTGGATTTTCAGTAAGACACCTCTGGAGGCAGAATGGGCTGCTGCCCCCACCATAGCCAGTCAGGGCAGTGCTGAGCTGCTGGAGGTACTTGTAGCAGGGGCAGTGACCGGAGTCAGGCAACAGACGGGGGCTGGACCAGATGGAGGCCATAGCTGTTATCCGGGGGTGGCTGGAGGTTTACAGGTGAGGGGAGCAGGATGGAGAAGCCAAGATCTCAAGTGGGAATGCTGGTGGGTTGGTCCTGAGCTGCATCTGCCACTGAGGACAGGGCCTAACTGAAAGAATGGAGTTGCTTTGGGAGAACTTGATATGGGAATTTTTTTTCTGTCATCCCAACTTGGGGTATCTTTTATAAACATAAAATATGGCATGAGGTTCCCTGCCATGAGAGATGTCAGATATTCTTCATTGTTTACTTTCCAGGTGCTATTTCTCAAACCTTTCCCCTTGTTATTAATTCTGTGCTCTTCAGAAGCTCCCTCCCCAAACCCTTATACTGCCCTCTGCCCCTCACTTAGGGCCTGAGCCATGGAATTGGCCCTAGGGCAGCAGGAACCTGTTGTTTCAGAAGTCGGTGACCTTCGAGGACGTGGCTGTGTACTTCACCCAGACGGAATGGGATGGCCTGTCCCCTGCACAGAGGGCCCTGTACAGGGATGTGATGCTGGAGAATTATGGGAATGTGGCCTCCTTGGGTAAGGCCTCTCTCCCCCTGGGACCCAGACTCTGCCAGTTGGGGTTTCCTGGCTTATTGCCCCCTAACAGGTTGCAGGTGGGGTCTCTGGTAATCCTTTACTGAGTGGGAACCCCAGGGGCTGAGATTCCTAATCCCCCTTGAGTCAGGGGTTGCTGGGAAGGGTGAACCTCAAGCCCTTTTTGGGCCAGTACAGGACTTGGCTGGGACTGGTGTGCACTCTTTATCCTCCCTCTAGAAGTTGTGGTTTAGACACTGTGGAAAAAAGAAACTTACTGTTTCACACAGCATTATTTTCAGGTTCACCCTCACCCGACCTGCATATCTTGAGGTCTTCTGGGCCCAAGTCTGGGCCATTCCCAACTCCTCCCACACCTTCTCAGGACCCCTCCTCCCCCCACACACATATACCTTCCAAGCTCCCCATCTTTCCAATTGCCCCCATCCCCGACTTTCCCATAGTCATTAGGCATGGGATCCCCTAGTGCTCTTATTTTGCCTTCCCATTGCCAAGACAATGTGAGGAGATGCTTAAGAACTCATCTGTGGGAGATTATTCACTTGTTTCTCCTATTTCTTTTCCCCTAAACAGGATTTTCTCTTCTCAAACCTGCTGTGATCTCACAACTAGAGGGAGCAGGTGAGCTGGGGGGCCCATCTCCACTGGTGGATGGAACAGAAACAGGCCCCCAGGGCCTCTGGACTGGTAAGGGACACAGGTTGCCTATTATGGGGGAAAGTTTAACTCTTTAAGAAGAAGGTCAACTTAAGCAACATATAAGCATGCCACATTTATGAGCCAGCCGTACAGAGTAAAAATTAAATGCTGATGATTTATAGAGATAGGTACAGTTGAGACCTGACTATTTTTGCAGTTTGCTGTTTCTGATTCCAAGAACAGATCTTTTTTCATTCTAAATCTTTCCAGGCCTAATTTTGGAATTCTGCCTTTCTCAGATGAAATTAATGGATGGTGTTTTTGGGTCCTTGCTACTTCCTAAGCATTGTGCACTTAATGTGATGGATAGAGAATTAACAGTCTTTTTATACAGAAAGGCAGAATAACCTGGCAGTTAAAAGTACAGTCTTTGAAGTAGACTTGACTGAGGTCCAATCCCAACTGCTATTCCTAGTTATATGACTTCCTAGTTGTGATTTTAAGCAGGTCAGTTATTTGAGTTCTCTAAGATTCAGTGTTTTTATCCCTGAAAATGGAATAATATACCTAACATATAGTGTGTGCTCAATGAAGTATTAGTTTTTATTTATTTATTTATTTATTTATTTATTTATTTATTTATTGGAGGAGACAGCTGTATATAGTAAGCTGTGGGAAATAAGGTGGAAGGGAGAAAGTGCTCTTTATTCAGTGCTTCTCAAATGATGTGCAAGTGAATCACCTGGGTGTCTTGCAAATATGCATGTTGTCATTTAGTAAGTGTGGCGTAGGGCCAAGATTCTGCATTTCTATTCTCAGGTTCTGCCAGTGTTTCTGGTTCCTAGACCATACTTGAAGTAGCAAGCTTCTCGTTGGCTTAAGCAGAGTAGTTGCCAGATGATTTCCCATTTCTTGTGATTTCCCATTTACTTACTGCATTTGTGGTGCATAGATTCTCTTGTATCCTTTCAATGAATCCTCCTTTTTAAAAAGATAGTTTCAGGGCACCTGGGTGGCTCAGTTGGTTAAGTGGCTGCCTTCGGCTCAGGTCATGATCTCAGCGGGGAGCCTGCTTCTCGCTCTCCCTCTGCCTGCCGCTCCCCCTGCTTGTGCTCTCTCGCTGTCTCTCTGTCAAATAAATAAATAAATAAATAAATAAAATTAAAAAAAAATTTTTTTAAAGAATAAAAAGATAGATTCAGTGGATTTTTGTTCATGTGGTCATTCAGCCAGATGAAGGGGGGAAAAATGATGTTGTGGAGCTCCTCAGAGGAGTCTGGATTTCATTCCATAGTCAGCAGACAGTACTGAAGTCTTTGAAGTTTTCAAATAACCATCATGATCTAAACTGAGAATGGAAACATTAATTAGTGTGTGTAGGTTAATTGGAGCAGGAAATCAAATGGCTTTTAAGCAGACAGAAGGGGAAGGTAGGTACAGGGCACAAGGCCCACGTCAGCAGAGTTGACTCTTTTAAAAAAACTTTCAGAAGGCCCATCCGGTGACTTCTGTTTAAATCTCATTTGCTGGAACTGTCTTATGACCCCCCCCCCACTGCAAGAGAGTGTGGAAAATACAGTTTTTAGCTGTAGTTTCTATTGCTACCTCAAAAAAATTGGAGAACGTGTTAGTAAGGAAAAAAGGGAGAATGGATATTGGTTAAGTAACCAGTAGCATCTGCCACACCATAGGATTTGGTAAATAGAAGGTCACTAGTATAGAAAATTGGCAAAGATTATAAGTGTTTGATCCACATGAGAAGTACAAATTTTAATCAATGTGAAAAAGCTTCACCCTCAGTAGAAACCAATGAGATACAAATTAAAACAGAGATGCTCCACCTAACACACTTGACATAGGTAGGCTGGGCCCAAGGACCCAGAATGGGTCCTGCAGGACAAGCCAAGAGGGTCCTTGGCTTTGAGTAGGGTAGAAACCAAATGCGAGCCAGGAGGAAGTGAGAGCAGAGTTTATTGAATAGCATAAGTGATAGAGTATAGCAGATGGAGTGTTTGGGAGATTCAGAAAGGAAAAGAGAGTGAGTCTCTCCTTTGCTTGGGGTCTAGGGTTTTTATTGAGGATTGGGATCTGGTGTACATGTCCTCTTCAGACACCCAGGAACTGGTCAGAACAAAGACAAGTGTCCAGGTGTCCTCCATAAAGCACGTATTGCCTGGAGCCAGGGGGTTTTGGCATCAAGAGGTCTAGAGTCAGTGGTCTAGAAAACGTATATGACGGCCCTGCTTGGTCATTCCTTAGGTGTTATCACCCGTGCTGGAAGACCCCCAAAAGTCATTAACTCCTTGACCCTTATAAGAAGGACATACATCATTTGTACTGTAAGGTGTGTACAAGGTGGGGTGGGGTACAGGTCCTGGCAAGAATAGAAGCAGGAAAATAAGCAAAAAGCAGTTTTTCATGGAGTTCCTTCAGTTTCCCTGGCTCATACAGAGAACAATTATATTGATGGAGAGACTACACCAAACTGGAATAGACTTTTGGGGATGAATGTGAATCAGTAGTCTTTCCAGAAAGTACTTCAGCAATACATATCAAGAGCCTTTTAAAAGTTTGTCCTTGATAGTCTGGATATTCCCTCCTAGAGTATCCTAATAAACTAATCAGAGATACAGACAAAGATGTGCATGCACAAAAGTTCATCATAATTTTATATAATAAAATGTTGGAAATAACCCAGACATTCAGTATAGAGAGAATTGGTTAATTTAAGATACCTCTGCAGGATGGAATGCTATTTAGCAATTTTAAAAATATTTTTACAGAATAAAGATAATGGAAAATTGTCATTATTAGTGTTAAGGAAGAAAAATATTTTCAATTTTGAATAAAAACATTTTTAGAAAAATGATTGGAAGGAAAATCTTTGGGGGAGGAGATACATCAGAAGATTAGATGTAGTTGTTAGATGGTTGTATTTCACGTAAATTGAATTTTCTTTTTTGTACTTTTCTGATATTAGGGATGACTACTATTTTTATAATTGGGAAAAGACCAACAGTTTTGAAAATGCTTGCTAGGGAAATCCAGGTCACTTGGGTCTCTTGAGGGTGATTAGAATGAAATACTGGGGCAGGGGCTTATTACCTGTGGTTGAGGAGAGATGAGAGATGAAAAATAGAGGCAGCATTTTGAGATCAGTTTTGAGAAATTTGGGAACAAAAGATCCTTAGCTCTATTGGGACTGTAGGGATTCCAAAAAGAATGTTAGGGACAACGGCTCCTGGGTGGCTCAGTCGCCTGGCTCAGGTCATGATCTCGGGGTGGGGTTGAGCCCCACGTCAGGCTCCCTGCTCAGCGGGAAGCCTGCTCCTCCCTCTCCCTCTGCCTCTCGCCCTGCTTATGTGCTTTCTCTCTCTGTCAAATGAATGGATAAAATCTAAAAAAAAAAAAAAAAAGAACATTAGGGACTAACCAATTCCAGGATTGAGGGAAGAGGAAGAAGAAAAGGTAAGGAGAAGAAGATGGCTTCTCTAAGCAGAAAAAAGGTGAAGGAGGAATTTTGGAAAGCCATGAGTTTAAGTTCAAAGAAAAGAAAAAAAGTTCTTTCCCTTTCACCTCCTGGTGCTGTAAACTCTTGCCATTCTGTGTTGCTACATGTTGGATCCTGTGCCTTTTCGTTCTTAAGCAGTTTCCATTTTTATCAACAAGGGACTTAAGGACACAGGGATAGCTGAGAAAAAACTGCAGAGTAAAGTGTGGTGTGATGGAAAGAATGCTCATCCGGTGGATAAAACCTAGGATTTTGTTCCATTGCTGTCACATTTAACCTTTATGTTACTGGTTATTTGCATAGGGGTTGGTAATCTTTTTAAATCGTTCCTGCTCAAAACTGTACAGCAAGTGTATAAAGCATACTGGAGAACAAAATCTCCCAAAATTCCTGTACCAATTTGCTCAGTTTCTTGTGTATTCTTCCAGGAGTTTTCTAGGCACGCACATACAAATATATAGGTATATATTGGCCCATTTTATTTTTCCTTTATACAAATGGAACCTACCGTACATCCATTTCTCAGCTTTTTTTTTCCATTTAACAGTGTATCTTGGACATATTTTCACATCAACATATATGGATTTGTTTTTTGTTTGTTTGTTTTTTTTTTTTACCGGCTACATATTATTCCACCTTATGGATGAACCTTAGATTCTTTGACCTAGTTTGGCGATTTTCAAGAGACCCTTGATAACTAGGATTCTTTTTTTTTTTTTAAGGTTTTATTTATTTATTTGACAGAGAGAGACACAGCGAGAGAGGGAACACTAGCAGGGGAAGTGGGAGAGGGAGAAGCAGGCTTTCTGCGGAGCAGGGAGCCCAATGCGGGGCTCGACCCCAGGACCCTGGGATCATGACCTGAGCCAAAGGCAGACGCTTAATGACTGAGCCACCCAGGCGCCCCTTACCTATGATTCTCTATTCCTTTTACCACAGTTCTTTTCTTTTCTCTAACATGGATCTTACATGATACCTTATGTTTTCTGTTTTTTTAATAGTAGATATTGATGTCCAGACTGACAATAATTTGATAAAGGAAATGTATGAAGAAAAACATAATACATCATTTGAACTTCAGAGGGACTTTTCCCAGGACACAGACTTTTCAGAAGCCTGTATTCTAGAGAAACAGCAGAAAGTCCATTTAGTAGGAAGCATAAAGAAAGAAAACTGCAGCGTCATTGACGGAATAGTGATAGACGGCAGCAACCCTGGGGGGGAGTATTTCTTTAGTCAGAGTCCAAACTTGGATCAGTGTCACACCGTCAGCACTGGAGAGCAGCCCCCTGAACGTATAGGATTGGAGAGAGCCTTCAGCTTTGACACAAAACTTATTCAGGATGAAATAATTAATTCGGGGGAAAGATCTTTTAAATGTGAAGAATTAGTGGAAACCTTCAGGTGTAACCCTCAGCATCAAGATGGCTACACTGGGGAGAAGCCCTATCAGTGTAAGCAGTGTGGCAAAGCCTTTAGCATTAATGCAAAATTAATTTGGCATCAGAGACTTCACAGTGGGGAGAAACCCTTCAAATGTGTGGAGTGCGGGAAAAGCTTCAGTTCCAGTTCCCATTATATCACCCATCAGAGCATCCACAGCGGGGAGAAGCCCTATCAGTGTAAGGTGTGTGGCAAAGCCTTCAGCGTCAACGGGAGTCTAAGTCGGCATCAGAGAATCCATACGGGAGAGAAGCCCTATCAGTGCAAGGAGTGTGGAAGTGGCTTCAGCTGCAGTTCTGCATATATCACACACCAGAGAGTCCACACTGGAGAGAAGCCTTACGAGTGCAGTGACTGTGGGAAAGCTTTCAGTGTTAATGCAAAATTGATTCAACATCAGAGAATCCACACTGGAGAGAAACCTTATGAGTGTAATGAGTGTGGGAAAGGCTTCAGGTGCAGCTCCCAGCTGCGGCAGCATCAGAGCATTCACACCGGGGAGAAGCCCTATCAGTGTAAGGAGTGCGGGAAAGCCTTCAGTAATAATGCAAAACTCATCCAGCATCAAAGGATCCACACAGGTGAGAAACCCTATGAGTGTACCGAATGTGGAAAAGCCTTTAGTGTCAAAGGGAAGTTAATCCAGCACCAGAGAATCCACACGGGGGAGAAACCCTATGGGTGTAACGAATGTGGGAAAGCCTTCAGGTGTAACTCCCAGCTGCGGCAGCATCTGAGAATCCACACCGGGGAGAAGCCCTATGAATGTAATGAGTGTGGAAAGGCCTTCAACGTTAATGCAAAACTAATGCAGCATCAGAGGATTCACACTGGAGAGAAACCCTTTGAATGTAATGAGTGTGGGAAATGCTTTACTTCTAAAAGAAACCTACTTGATCATCACCGAATCCATACTGGAGAAAAGCCTTATCAGTGTAAGGAATGTGGGAAAGCCTTCAGTATCAATGCCAAACTAACTAGGCATCAGAGAATCCACACTGGGGAGAAACCTTTCAAATGTATGGAATGTGAAAAAGCATTTAGCTGTAGTTCTGACTATATTGTACATCAGAGGATCCATACTGGAGAGAAACCCTTTCAATGTAAGGAGTGTGGAAAAGCCTTCCATGTTAATGCCCATTTAATTCGGCATCAGAGAAGCCACACTGGGGAGAAACCCTTTAGATGTGTGGAGTGTGGCAAAGGGTTCAGCTATAGTTCTGACTGTATTATACATCAGACTGTCCATACTTGGAAGAAACCCTATGTGTGTAATGTGTGTGGGAAAGCCTTCAGGTTTAGCTTCCAACTTAGTCAGCATCAAAGTGTCCATAGTGAAGGAAAATCGTAATGAGAAGGATGTAGAAAACTCTCAAAGTTAATGAAATGGATCAGGTATCATCATATTCGCCGTGGTAGAAAACCTTGAGGGAAATCAATACGGCATCTTCCCATGGAAACACATCTTTTCCATCTTACTTTTAAAATCAGGAATGATGACTGGTTAAAAAGTAACAACCAAAAATAAATAGCTTGTCTTATACCAACAACCAATTAGAAAATATGATGAAAGAAAAGATCCCATTCCCAACAGCATCAAGAAAAGTGGCTCTCCTAGGAATAAACTTAAGTATTACACAGGATCTATTTGGAGAAAGAAATCTCCATTGAGGGCCAAAAAAGGTAAAATAAATGGGGAGAGAGAGAAACCTTGTTCTTGGATAGGAAGATTCATGTAGATATTCACTCTGCCTAAATTTACTTCCCTTTCATTTTTGACACCAAGCATGCATCACTTTTGTAAAGAGGATAAACAATAAAGATTTCCGTAGAAAGAAAAGATGAGTAAATTTTTTAATTTCATGGGAGAAAAAACATATATAATATATATAAAATATATATATAAATATATTAAATATTTATGTTCTTAATAATCCCAAATAAAGTTAAAAGATAAAGCACAAAAAGAAATACCTTTGTAAAATTTATGATATAAATGTTTAATATGTAAAGATAGGTTTTATAATCAAGAGAAAAGTAATCTAATAAAACCCAGAAAAATGACATTAGCAGGCATTTAAAAAAAAATCTAATAGATGTTCAGTCACAGTCCTCTAAGGATTGAAAATGAAATATGCACACAATCATACCCAAGGAGCCCTCAGACCGCTCTTCCACAGACCCTCCCATAGACACACATAGTCACACACAGTGTACCCTATGTACACAGAGACTGTACACCCCCATAGGCCAGTGACATCAGCTCCTGCATGTTCTGTAGCTTGAGCAACCAGTGTTAGCTAGGGATGCTACCTTGAGTATTTCAAAGGAGCCATTCCTGTTAGAAAGCTAATGATGTGGTATAGGACCTCAGCAGAGTGTCTGGGGGATGCCACTGTGTGTAAGTCCCACTGCTCTGCCCCCAGACTCTGGGAGCTGAGGAAGGGTGGAGGCCAGACCCTGGAGCCCCAGAACATAGGAAGGAGCATGGCCTTTCTTCCCCCTCATCTGACCCTGATTCTCTGCTGTGGCAAGACCAAGGCGGGGATTCTAGGAGGGTCAAGAACCACTAAGGACAGAACCTACTGTCTGGGATCTGCTACCAGTGTCCTCTGTGACCACGGTCTCTCTGGGTCTCAGGCTCTTGTCAGTGCAGGGTGAGGGCTGGTCCCAGAACTCAAGGTCCTTCCCACCCAGATGGTCCCTGAGGGTTTTCTCCCTCTCTCTAGGTTTGTTACTGTCCAGGACAGGTGCTCTGTTCAGATTCTAAGGACAAGAGGAGGAAAAAAGTTAGACACCTGTGGAGCCTCATGAAGTCACACGGCTCCATCAGCCAGTAGTCCTGCCATCTTGTATCCTCAGTGCTCCTTACTCCAGCCCAGGGCTGCCTGGGTCCAATGGGAGCCTTACCAGGAAAAAAGGAGCCATGGCACTGGAGACCTCTGTCCCCTCACAAAAGCTCTTTTTCTGAACTGGAGCTGTGGGCCTGGAAGGGCCAGGATTAAATAAAGCCTTTCTCCCTTAGTCCCAGTGTGTTTTGTCCCTACAGCACACACCCTTCCAGCCTGGCCTGTCACACTGGAAGCGCCCTCAGAGAGCATCTGGTCCTGCCCTGTCCAGGTCAGAGGAAAATGTGGTTGTCCATGGGCACCCAGCAGGTCAGGGGACAGCCTGGGGTGAAAGGCCAAAGCTAGGCAAGGCTCCAGTGTCATCTGGGGGAAGAAGAGGCCCGGCACAGCTACTCCAGGGCTGGTACCCCTTTCCTCCTGGCACTGGGGTTGGGGGTTGTGTGCAGAGGCTTCTGGACCTCTGCCTCTGAGGTCCCCACTCTCGCCACACCACAAGCCCACGCTGTCTCCTAGCCTGTCTCTTGATAGGGAACTGAGGACACCCTTCCCCTTCCACAGGCCAGGGCTGACCAATGCTGGGGAACTGGAGATGAGGCGAACCTCGGCCTTCGCCCCAAGTCCCCAGTCCACGGGATGGGACAGCTCCCTGTGCTCCCTTCCCCCTGCTCTCAGGCCCCGGGCGCCGCACAGACCACGTGGTCCACAGCAAATCCAACTCGTCCCAGTGCTGCCGGGGCTCTAGCCCTGGGTCTGAGCCCGCTCTGTTGGGCCCTGGCTCCTCCGCCTGTTGTTCGGGCTGCCAGCGGCCCGAGCCTCCCTTCTGCTCCAGCTCACCCTGCCACTGCCTCCCAGGCCCGGGTGGCTCCGGTGATCCTGCAGTGTGGCCCCCACCTCCTGCTGGCCACGGAAATCCCACCCGCTCTCAGCCGAAGCCCAGCCTCCAGGAAACCCCCGCGCTGCTCGGCCCACTTCCTCCAGCCAGCCACGGTAAGGGGCAGTTAGGCCATTCGTTCCGCGTGTCGGCCACCCGCCTTTGGCCTGCGAGCCCTTGGCCCACGTGCTACCAGGATGGGGACCCGAGGCTCTGGATCCCAGCCGCCCTGGGCCACCGCGCGCGGCGTACGGAGCCAGGTGACGGCCTTCTGCTGCCGCCTCACTCCCTGGCCGGCCTGGGCGCGCGCCTTCCCGCCCTGGCACTGTTTTGGCCTCGGTGCGAGGAGAGGCAGGAGCGTTGGGCCTGCGCGCGTCCAGGGCCCTGCGACCTGCACTTGGGCGCGAGAAGCCATTAGCAGCCAGTGGCCGCCAGCCGCGGCCCCCTGCGGCCCCCGGTGGCCGGTTCGCTCCCTGCAGGGCGCGAGACGCCCCGGGCCGCCCTCCCCGCGGAGCGGGAAGCCCGGAACCGCCCCTGTGAGGCCGCGGGACAGCTCCTCCCTGCCCTTATCCCGGGGGTATCCCTGGAGCAGAGTCCTGGGGCAGCCGAGTCTGAGCCCTTGGTGGAACACTCTCCTGGGGAATCCGCCGGGGGTGGGGGTGGGGTGCACATGACCTTCGACGCCAGGCAGGGCGGAGTCCGAAGGACCCTTAGAACGCTTAGGCCAGCGCATTGCAAACTTTCCCCTCAAACCCCCCCACACACACCCCGGAAATCTTAGAGGCGCGATTTGTAAACTCCTAAGTAGAGCCGCTGTGGAAGACTGTGAGGGGGTGAGGGGCAGTTGCCAGTGGGCCCGAGAGTCAAGGGCAGCGGTTTTGCTTAATGATGCCTTGATCCAGGACGGAAATCGCAGTGCGTTCCACAGAATCCAAGCGTTCCACGCAGGGCCACCCACGGGTGTGAGGTGGGTAGGAAGAACAAGAGATGAGGGAGATGGGCTCCATAGCCGGGCTCTCCTGGGAAAGGCATGTGGTAAAGAACCGTGAGTTGGCCTCCACATGACAGTGGGGGAGGAGAGAGTCAGTGCAGGGACCAGGTCAACAGGGAGCAGGGGCCTAGCCACGCTTTGCCGTGTCCCTTCTGCCCAGAGGGCTCTCCCTGCCTTCACACATTATACCTAGGGGTGGCAACAATTGCTAGGTTATGTGGTAATTCTGTGTTTAACTTTTTGAGGAACTGCCAAACTGTTTTCCACAGGGGCTGCACCATTTCACATTCCCACCAACAGGGCCTAGGCATTCCAGTTTCTCCACATCCTCACCAACATTTATTATTTGCTGTAATTTTTGTTGTTGTTATATGCACCCTAGTGGATGTGAAGTGGTATCTCATTATGGATTTGATTTATATTTCCCTGATGACTACTAATGTTGGGCATCTTTTAACTGGTGTCCAGACTCCGGTCTTGCCCCCTTCTATCCACTCAGGTCCTTTCAAAACCCAAGTCTGATCCTGTCTTCCCCAGCTCAGAACCCCTTGGGGCTCCCCACCCACTCTCCCTAGACTAGAAGACGCATCCCTACCCTCCCTGCCCCCACAACACACTCTCTCTGCTCTAGCCCCTAGAAAATTCTCCCAGTTGTTAAAATACACTTCTCCAAACCTTTGCATCTGCTATTCTCTCTACCTAGAATATTCTCCTATGCTCTCCTCCACTCCACTTCCCCCCAAAATGCCTCTCATCCTTCAGGTCGCAGACGTCACTGACCCCTCATGACCTTTCACATGGTGTGTCCCCCTTCTCTGTGCTCACCTGTCACACCCTCCCTAACTCCACCATGTCGCTTTCCACTCTGATCTGTAATTCACAGTTCAACTGTTGGTTTCACCCCAAAGACTGAAATCCACAAGGGTCAAGGCCATGTTTGCAGGCTGGGCCCTGTCTCCTCAGAGCCCAGGGCAGCAGGGATGCAATCAAACTGTGCTCACTGGCCACTTGGAGGGAAAGATGATGGGTGAGTGGGTGGGTGCACAGGTGCATTTGATTGAGGTCCTGGACCCAGTTTGTTTCCTCTGCCTGGAAGCTCCAGTGCCCTGGTTCACACATTTTTGGTCCCACCTGTTGGCCACCAACCGTGGTACAGCCTGGGCTCAAGATGGGTGCCTCCATCCACAGACAAGGCTGAGGGGACAATAGAGTGAAACTGGCTTTTCCCCATATAGGTTATAAATCCCTTTTGGGGTCATTTCCCCTTTCCACCTTAAGCTAAACTCCTTCTGTGCCCTTGACCTCAACCATTCCCAAGACCACAGGGGTCTTCCTTTGTCACTTTTGTCCCTCCCTCCCCAGCCTCTTGATTATCCCCCACCGGCTTCCCTCTACCCTCTCAGAACACTATGGTCCTGTTTCCCTTCTCTGCAAAACCCTCCACTTGAGTGGTTTCCAACCTTAGCTCACATTGGAATCCCAGGGGGAGCTCTGAAACATCTTGATGCTCAGGCCGCAGCCCTGCTAATAGGAATGGGGAGGGCAGAGATGCCTGAGCACTGGTATGCACCCAGGTTACTTAAACTTGCGCCTGAGCTTGAGAACTACTGTTCTTGATACTGCACCCCTCAGAGGCTGCCCCATTTCTTTTGTTCAGATGTCTCAGTTGAGTACTTTGTACCCCCACTTGTGTTCTTCTCAATGTCTGACAACTCAAATCTTAGCATTCCAGGGCCTGGCCGAAGAATGCACAGAACCACCCTCTCCAGGCTGCTGAAGTCAGCTGGCTCCCTGTTCCTGGCATTCTCCATCTCCCTGCAGCCTGCAAGAGCGCCGTGTGGGATTATGTGAACCTGGCCTCAAACCCCAACTCCAGCCCTTCGTTGCTGTGTGATCTTGAGCAAGTTACTTAAGCTCTCTGAACCTCGTTTTCCTTAAACGTAACTTCCCTCCTGGGGCAGCTGAAAATAGACAGTGATAACCCAGAAATGCACGTCCAGTGCCCTGCAATGCAGCCTATTATGATCCAGGCCCTGTGCCCCTTCTGGCAACTCCCTGCACAGGGGTCCTCCCACCAGCCTCTCTAACCTCTTTTTCTTTCCTTTTCCTCAGACCCCTAAGAATTGTTCACCCTTACTGGGCATTTACTTGAAACCTGGCCTCGTCAAGGTTAACCTCTGGGTCTGACCCCAGCTTTAGGAAGGATGTCATCTTGTCCTCTCCCCTATTTTACAGAGGAGAAAACTGAGGCACCGGCTGGCAACTTGTCAAAGCTGCCTGGAAATGGCAGGCCTGGGATTCAAATCAGCACAGTTTGACGGAAGGATTGGGCTCCTCACTGCTGGGCTGGCTGCCCGCCCCTTGCGAGGCCCAGGCTTGTGTCCCGGACCCTCTGTGTTCCCTGCAACCCTTTCTATATATTGCCAAGTTCCTAAACTTAAAAGATTTAGATGTGGAGGGTAAAATAGAGAACCTCCTAGAATAAAACAAAGGAGCATATCATCATGATATTGAGGGCAGGAAATATTTCCTAAATAAGACTCAAAAAAAAAAAGGCTAACCTTAGAAGACTAGATAAGCTGGACTGAATTGAAATTAAGAACTTCTGTTCATCTACAGACACCATTAGGAGAGCTAAAAGGCCACAGGGGGTGCACATGTTTGGCCAAAGGATTCGGAGGCAGAACAGAGAAAGAACCCCTATGACTCAATACAGCTCCCTCATAAACGATTTTTAAAAATCACATAGGCCTGGCTTTGGACTCTAGCTCTTCTCAACTATTCAGTGAGATCCTGGATAGGTCTCCATGAGGCTCTGATGCCCCAAATTAATTCTTGTATTTCCAAACTGGGGATAAAATCCCTGCCTCACTGTTAGGTTTCCTGTGAGAATCAGAAAAGGGATTAATGCATCAAAAATGGATCATGGGTCAGCTGGGGAATTCTGTCAATACCCCTCTGTCCCTCCCTCGCAAATTGGAGTTCCCCAAGGACTTGGCAACGTGTTCGGAGTACGGGGGCGGGGGGTATAAATGTGATATGTGAATGGACAGGGAACAGCATTCCTGGATGAGGGAACAGCATGAGAGAAGCGTGAGGGTGGAAAGGTACAGTCAAGGTCTTTGGGGGTTGGGTTAAGGTACAGTCGGGAAAAGTGAGAACAGGCCGGGCCAGGCAGGGGATAGATCTTAAATACCAGGTCAAGGATAATGCCAGGCATTATCTGGAAGGACACAGGCAACCATAAAAGTTTTGAGGACGAGGTGTGCATAAATGATAGGGAAAGAGAGACAGGGAGAGACAGAGCTTTGGAGATTAGAGGTCGGGGCAGTAAAAGATTTCTCCATATGCAGCGGCCATTTCAGGACTTCTGCTTCGAAGGAAGGAAGAACGGAACCTGAGTAAAAGAGAGATTGTGTTCAGTGGGAGGCGTGGGCCAGAGGCAGGGGGTCCGTGGGGCGGGGGGAGAGGAGCAGGAGAGGATCCCGCTTCACCTCCCGATCACTCCTAGAGAAGGGGACCACCAGACAGAGGGGCTGGCCGTGGTTCTCAGATGTGGCACCCGGAGCTTGTTAGAAACACAGTCTGGGTCCCCACCCCACGCCTACAGAATCAGGGTGTCTGCAGTGGGCTCTGCACTCCAGGGGATTCTGATGAGTGCTCAGATTTGAGAACCGCCACCGAGAAGAAAGGTCTCCCTGGTCTTCCCTTTCAGAGACACTGGTGAACGACAAAAGGTCACAGAGCCAGGCGGAGGTGGGGTCCCCTCCCCTGCCATAGTAGCCCATAGTGGCCTCAGCCCAAGCCAGCCTTCACCCTAAGGGGATGCACCCGGAGATGAGAATCTGCACCCGCTCTTGGGGACAGCTCAGCCAGCTTGCGTCTCTGCACAAACATTGGCTCTTGTGGGGCGGCCATAACCCCATCCAAAGACTTACCCCTTAAAACTTTCTCACTCCATCTTGCCTCCTGCCTGTGACTTTCCTTGGCAGACCCCCATCCCAGCCCTCTCCCAAGGGCACGGGCGGGTGGGGGGCGGGGAGCTAATTGGAAAAGGCAGGTGGTGGCCACGCTGGGGGTTCTGACCCAGGGCTTGATTATCAGTTTATCAGTTAGGCTAAGGTTTAAAAATAGCAGTCCTGCAGGGGACGGGGCAGTGCCTGGGTGTGGGAGGGAGGGAGGGAGGGAGGGTCCCGGCGCGGGTTAGATTTCAGTTCTGCTGCCTTCCCTTCTCCGGGTTTTGAGCTTCTGTCTTCAGGGGTGAATTTCCTGCCGTGGGGGGATTGGTGAGGGCCCGCCTTGCTGGCAGAATGGCCCCCCTCCCCCCAGCACTAGCATTTTGTACTGAAGCTTGCACAAGAGTTGCCTGCTAAGGGGAGGGGTCTCTGCATTTCCAGCTCTCGGGAGAGAGCAGAGGGGGTTCAGTGATATTGAGTCTTCCTTCTGCTCTTTCTAGAAAGCCTTGTCTTACTCTTAGGGTGAAATCTTCATCTGTGAGATCCTGGCTCAATGGCCTCACGGCCTTTGAGCCTTACCCGAGGGCAGCTTGCCCGGCCCTCCCTGCCCATCCTCATCCCACTGGTTAGGGTGTGTGTGTGCTCTGGGTGCCCCCTCCACAGGGCTGGGCCAGCCCAGGTGGCCCACTTAAAGGAGCCTGATGCATGTCGGGGTGAATTTGTTAAATTATTTAAGCAACTAAGCGTCACGAGGACCCCAAATTATCATTTTGGGTAAGATGAAAAAGAAGGATTTGGTTAAGAAAAAGACTCAGGGTCTAGCAATTTTAAATTGGGGTTCAAAGAGCCACACCTGTGCAGAAACTATCCCAAGTTAGGCAGAGGCAGATCTTTCTCCCTTAGTCTTGCTGGTATGTCAATTTGCATTCCCAAAGGCAACTCGTCCTCCTACTTTATTATGTGCATACAAACATATGCAAAGATAGGTTCTAATTGCCACCCTCCTTTTACACCAAAGCAGCATATTATGCACTTGGTTCTGGACCTTGGATCCACCCCTCCCCTCATTCACATCTTGGAATTTTCCTGGTCCTCGAAGTTGTGTCCTTGTTATTATTATTTTTTTAAATATTTTATTTATTTATTTTGACAGAGAGAGAGACACAGTGAGAGAGGGAACACAAGCAGGGGGAGTGGGAGAAGGAGAAGCAGGCTTCCCGCCGAGCAGGGACCCCGATGCAGGGCTCGTCCCCAGGACCCTGGGATCATGACCCGAGCTGAAGGCAGACGCTTAACGACTGAGCCACCCAGGCGCCCCGTGTTCTTGTTATTTTTAACAGCTGCGTCGTATTCCACCGTCACCTCCTATAACGTTTCCCCAGTCCCTTCCTGCGGCCACGGGATTTGTCCAATCATCTGCTGTCACAGACGGCGCTCGGGCTGGAACATCATGTTGCCTGGACTTAAGTGTTAGGTCGGAGGGCACACGCCTTTGTACCTACAGTGGGTGTTTGTCTTTCTCCTCATGGGGAGGTAGGAAAGGAGACTCTTCAGAGCTGGACCTGGGAAAGGGGGGTGGATTTGAACCTTTTCCCTGTGCTTTCTAGTTATTTGCTCACCTGAGCTTCGGTTTTTAAAATCTGTAAAATGGGGCTCGCAGTCGGGAGGGTGCAGTGGGATCAGCTAAGTCAAGTGTTGGGTTCAAGGCCAGACGCCGAGCGAGAGCTCGAGGTGCCTGGAGTAGTAGAGTCTGACGATACAGCTGCCCCCGCATCGTTTCTGGGGTGACAGCCGGGGCGTGTGGGGAGGGTGGGGGTCTCAGAGCCGAGGATTGGAGCTTGGTCATCAAGTCATGGGTTCCCCGCGGGAAGATCACCGCCCCAGCCCCACCCTCGTTTTGACCCTGAGCTTCTGTGCTCTGTTGGGGAACGCTGGGTCTCCCCAGGCCCGTTCTGGGGCTACCTGTTGGGAGGCCTGGAGGAAGAAGGCACGTGGTCTGCCTTACATCCTCAAAGCTCTGGTCCCCGGCACAGTCCACAGATGGAGGGGCTGACCGCTAGCCTTACCTAATTCTGTGTCTTCTACACACGTGATTGCATCCAGTTCTCAGAATTGCCCCATAGGAGAGACGAATATCCCCACCAGCCAATGTCTCTTGTCATGGCGGGACCTTGCTCCATCCAAACGGAACCTCGTGTTCGCATGACGCCTCTGGGTTCTTCCACGCTGCCCCCTCAAGGCAGGGAAAGCCTGTGACGCGTGTGGGGTTTCCCGTTGCCCCTTGTTCACACTGGGGATGAGTCCTCAGTGGAGAGGTATACTGCTGGACTAGAGGGGGACTTTGATTTTGTAGGACTGGAAATACCCTCTGTATGTCTGGAAGGAAAAACATAACACCTGCTACTAACATCTCAAAACGTCTGTGCGACACTTTCACCCTTAACACCCTCACTGCCAACATTTAGGATAAACATTGGTCAGCAACCAATCTTTTGAATCCTCTCGCCAACAGAGGTGTTCTCAGACCCGTGCAAATAGATCCTAAACAGTGCACATCTGTGTATCTGCATCTGTTTTCTCCTGCTGCAGGGGCTTAGGATGAATTGGTTGACCAGGCGCAGTTTGATGGGCTCCGTTCTCCAGCCCTAGAACTGGATGGCTCAGGGTCGTCACTGATGTGAGAACATGAGTAGAGAGAAGGAAGAGGCTTTGTTTAGTATACTCCATATTTATGACGAACCAGAGGAGAGGAGGAACGTGCCAGAAAGCTCTGGCATTTCCTCCCAGCATGAGCATCAAGCACAGTCCCAACCGGAGGGGGTGTATGGGATGTCCCAGCAGCCCCCGGGTTCCCTGACATAGCATGGCCTAGTTTATCAGGAGATGAGCGCTGGGACCCTGCAGCAGTGGGTCCTCCAGACTCTAGGCAGATCTGAGCTCCAGGCCAGTTGTTTCCCCCAGGAGGAGCCACAAGCCACAGCAGAGCTGGGCCCCAGGTAGGTCTCCCTTGAACCAGACTGGTGGTGGGAGGGGGGAGCTCTCCCTGGGAGAGGGGATCCTAGCACAGAGCTCTCCAGATCACACTGAATCTCCTCACTCGCCCCGCTCCCACCCCTGCTCCTGTCCATGTGTCATAGCTTCCTGCCAGGACCCGAGTTTGGTAAGTCCCAGCTGGGACGCGTGGGCAGGGAAAGTGGCAACCTAAGGCTGGGCCTCGGATGGGGGACAAGGCGTGAGGCCTGGTGTCGGGGAAAGCAGCCTTCCCCTTGAATCCTGCGGTTCTGTTGCTGTCGGCCTCCCTCTGTGAGCGGGTGGGCATTGATCTTTCCTTGCAGGCCGGCCTTGCCCTTTGCCTCCGCCTAGGGAAGAAGTCTGGTCGTTCCTCGGGGCAATGGTAAGTGTCCTATTATTTCTGCACTTGGGATCTTTGCCTTCCCCTCTACCCCCCAAATTAAGGAAAGGGGAGGGCATGCAGTGTGTCCTTCTCTCTCCTATAGGGGGTGGCTGTCCTGCAGCTCCCTGCTTCCTTGGAACTCGGCTCCCGGCTCTCACCGCCACCGTGCAGGGCCTTCGGCTCACGGTGTCACCTCTTCTAGAGCTGTGTCCGGGGCGGGGGCGGCACTCTGAGCCGGGCGCTGCTCTTACTGCTGGCGAGCAGCGTTGTCTCAGGACGTTGGGTGAAGAGTTAGGAATTCAGTTAGAGGACCGGGCGGGCGGTCACCCGTGGACGATGGGCACCCGCTTTCTTCTCTCAACCGCAGCCGCCGGTTCCGGATGAAGCCGTGGTCAGGCAGAGGGTCCCCTGGAGGTGCTGGAAGGTTGGCAGGCTCCGCCATGGAAAGAAAGTCCATGCTGTTGCCATCAGCGGCTCGACTCACCACGTGTACGCGTGTGGCCACGGCTACATTAAGGTCTGGGATGAGAGCGCTCTGCATGCCTGCAACAAGGCCCCGCAGGCCCAGCTGGACTTGCAGGTGTGGGGGGGTGTTCGGGGAGGGCTGGGGGAACCCCAACGTGACCTCTGTCGTGGGACTCGGAGCCCGGGCCTCGAGCAGGTGATGTGAGGGTGGGAACTGTTCCTGCAGGACCATCAGAACTGCGTCCTCGCCTGCAAGCTGTTCCCCGACGGGCAGCGCCTCATCACTGGGGCTCTGTCCCGGAACCTGACACTGTGGGATCTGGCACCCACACCCCGTGTCAGGGCACAGCTGGCCTCCACGGGCCCCATGTGCTATTCCCTGGCGCTCTCCTCCAATGCCCAGATCTGCTTGGCTTGTTTCAAAGGATTTGTCGAGATTTGGGATTTGCAGAACCAAATCTTGATCACGTACGACCCAGGGGAGGGCTGGACAGTGAGGCCTTTGGGAAGGCTTGTGTGCCTTTCTGGACCTCTCTTGCGCCTCTGTGCAGTAGGACTAGGTGAGTCCGTGTGGAGAATAGATGTGGGGGACTCCTGGGGGCTTCCTGGGCCCGAAACGTCCCGGTGGTTAGCCAGCACGTGAACCTCTGAGTTCTTTTCCCGCCAGGAAGCATGAGGTCCCCGAATATGGGTCCCGCTGTGTGGACATCGCAGGCAGTAAGTTCTGGACAGGAGGAGAAGACACCAGACTATATTCCTGGGACCTGAGGTGCTACCAGAGGTTGCAGCAGCACGAATTACGGCCAGAGGTGTCTGGGCAGCCACCAGGGGGCTGAGGGTGGTCCCCGTGGTGGGGGGCCGAGGGGGCTTGAATGACGGGGTGGGCAGCTTGGAGTGCTGACTCCGGTCCTTCCCAACAGATCCTCAGCATTACCCACGACCCCAGTGAGGAGTGGGTGCTAGTAGGTCTGAGGACGAGCAATATCATCATTCTCCACACGCACCGGAGGGAGAAGTTTAAGGCAGTCCTTCATAAATATGTCAACCACCACAACCTCCAGTTTGCCTCCTGTGGTGAGTGGAAGCCAGGCGACCCCTCTAGGCGTCCTGTCCCACCCCGGGATGTCTGCTCTGCAGAGTCGGGGCCCAGCCTTGTTCCAGGCTCTGTTCCTCCCTCTTGAGCCCCAAGCCCGGCCAAGTGGAGACGCAGGTGTCTGTGTCCCTCCCGCTCTCACCTCTGCACCCACGCCCGCCTTGCCCCCCGCTGCCTCTCCCTCTGTGGCCTGGCACCCTGCCTGTCTTCTGTCCTCGTCCCTCTCCTCTCTGGCTCTCTGTAACGGTGCCTTCCTACACAGAAGAACAGCTTGGAGACACAGGCAGGCAGAAGAGGCACGAAGCCCCATCTGATTGTCCTTTTGTGCAGTGATACTGAGCACCATCCTGAGTGTGGCAGGAGGATAGGGCCAGGGGAGGGAATGGTTGGGCTCTTGGCTCGGGTTTTTATAGATGGGCACACTGAGCCAGAGGAAGAGCTGCTCTTTTCCTAGTTACCTTGGGGATGGAGCTGGGACTGGAATGCAAGCTTGGTCTCTGGCCTCCCCACCTGCCTTTCCTTTGCCAGGGAGCTATTTTGTGACCGCACTGGACGAGGCGATCCACTGCATAGCTGCACCTTCTCTGCAAAGGTTGTTTCAGGTATTGGGAGGAGGGATGTGCAAACCCAGGCTCTCGGAGCTCAGACCCAGATCCCAGTGGGCCGGGTCCCGAGGACAGTGCCAGAAAATACCTCTGGGGTGGTATCTGGGTCCATTTACTAGATCCAGGGGAATGAGGACTCAAGGTTCTGTGACTTCACAGGCTCCACCGTGAGCCCTGAGACCTGCCCCGTTGTCTCCAGACCGAGCCCTAGGTCTGTCCTTACCCTTGAAACAGCCCCAAGTGAGGCCTTCATCTGTGGCCCATGCCTGGCCCCTGCCTGTGGTCACTCTTCTAACCTCCTTCCCTGTAGGTAGAGGAGCCTACGGATGTCCTGTGTTGTGATGTGTCTTCTGACAACCAGTATCTGGTCACGGGCTCCGAGAACAGTGCCACGGTTTACCAGCTCTTGTACTGAAGTTTGCGTGCCGTGTTCCTGCTGGTGAAGACCCAGAGGAGGCCGGCAGGCTGAGGGGAGGGCAGCCTCCGCGGCCCCGATAGCATTGCCTGACCCTTGGTGGCCGGGCCTCTGTCCATTCCCTCCCCCCAGGACACGCCTCGCCTGTGTGCGCAGGTTTTTATGATACGGCATAGGGGCTTTTCCTCTGTTAGTATTCTTACCACTGATTTCTGGGTTTGGGTGGGGAAACTTGCCTTTATAATTAACAAAATAGAAGAGCAAAAACCAAAATGGCCTGATCATGTGGTCAGTTTTTTCAAAGAACAAACTCCTCGTGATGGATTGCTTAGATCCCCCTCAGGAAGGAATTTTACACCAGACTTAGGTTTTGTTTGTAAGTGTAGACCATCAACACTCCGTTCCTGACCCAGGTTAAGACTCTATGAGCTGGTCTAACCATATCCCGAGGAAGGGCTCGTGCACGCTCTCTCGCGTGCACTTTGTCTCTCTCTCTCTCTCTCTCAGCTGCTGCTTGAGGATATCTGGCTTTATTTGAGTCTTTGGAAGGCCTGATTTTCATTCTGGCATTCTGTGATATTCTGTCTGGCCCTCTCGAGGTAGAAAAAGCCCAGCTCCTGAAATCAAGCCATGGAGGCCTGCTTCCTTGTCCTTGCCCATTCTGCCTCCTCTTTGCTTGGTGTTGGCACAGCTGAGACAGCTAAAGTTGGTAGCTTAGGGTTGTCCCTGGGAGGAGGCGCAAAGCCAGGGACCAAGCATGCCATCCTGTGCACCGAGATACGGTCAGGTACCTAGTTCCTGCCGATGGATCATGAGTGAGGAATGAGCCTCGTTCCTGGACCAAGGCTAAAGGAGTAGGGGACGTCCCCTCCAGGTTCTCGGTCTCCTACCAGCCCAAGGTGAGAAGGTGGAGGCCCTGGGGCATTGCAGGGCCATGAGGTGGAAGCATCCACTGGGCAAGACACAAACTTATAACAAGTGTCCACTTACAGATGAACGGACAAGCAAAATGTGATGTATCTGTAATATGCACACACACAAAGGAATGTATGATTCAGCCTTTAAAAGGAAGGAAATTCTGATACCGGCTGCAACATGGATGAACCCTGAAGACCTTGTGGGAAGTGAAAGGAGCCAGTCACAGAAGGACAAATACTGTGATTCTACTCCTACGAGGTCCTTCGATCACTCAGAGAGACAGACAGCAGAAGGGTGGTTACAGGGAGCTGAGGGAGAGAGAGAAATGGGAGGTTAGTGTTTGATGGGGACCAAGTCTCACTTTGGCAAGGTGATAAGGATTCTCGAGATGGTGGTCATGGGGCCACAGCAGCGTGGGTGTACTCAATGCCACTGAGCGATACACCTCAAGGTGGTTAAGATGGTGTAAGTTCTGTTATGTGTATTTTACACAATTAAACCAACAGCTAGGGAATTACAAAGATCAAGTTCAGAATAGTGGTAATCTCTGGGAAGGGAGGGAGGGAGAGAAACTGGGTCGTAAAGTGACAAAAAGGGAGCTTCAACTCCATCTGCAGTGTTTATTTCTCCAAAAATAAAGTTTATCAGAATAAAAAATGAGCACCTCGGGGAGACCATCAAGAAAGGGGACAGACAACCCACAGAAGGGGAGAGGATATTTGCAAATCCTATTTCTGGTAAGGGACTTCTACCCAAAATATATAAAGAATCCTTATAACTCAACAGTAAAAAGTAAACCAATTGTCCAAGGGGCGAAGGATTTGAATATACGTATCTCCAAAGAAGATACACAGATGGCCAGTAAGCACAGGAAAGGATGCTCACCATTCACTGAGGAAAATGCAAATCAAATCCACAACAAAATACCACGTCACACCTGCTAGGATGGCTGGAATAAAATAGACAACAGCAAGTGTTGGTAAGGATGGGGAGAAACTGGAACCCCAAATGGTGCAGCTGCTTTGAAAAACAGTTTGGTAGCTCAAAATGTTCAACCTAGAGTCAGCATGGGACCCAGCAGTCCCACTCTTAGGCACGTGTCCGAGAGAACTGAAAGAAGCAAAAAGCATGTAAGTGGGGCAGCAGTAACTGGAGTGATAAAAGAATTCCAAAATTTTTTGCTGGAAAAAAGGTAAAAGTCCTCAGGTGCTGGGCTGGCTCAGTCCACAGAGCACACCACTCTTGATCTCTTAGGGTTGTGAGTTCAAGCCCCACGTTGGGCGTAGAGATTACTTTAAAAAAAAAAAAGGTGAAAGTTCCAGTTAATAGTAGTCTTCATAAGTCAAGTAGTAGCATTGGAATTTCTAGATTAATTACTAAAAGAATATTAAGGGTACAGTTTCCAGATAGAGGGAAAATGCTGGCACAATGGAACATAATATTTTTTTTTAAAGATTTTATTTATTTGACAGAGAGAGACACAGTGAGAGAGGGAACCCAAGCAGGGGAAGTGGGAGAGGGAGAAGCAGCCTTCCCGCCTAGCAGGGAGCCCGATGTGGGGCTCGATCCCAGGACCCTGGGATCATGACCTCAGCTGTGGGGTCATGACCTCAGCCAAAGGCAGACGCTTAACTGACTGAGCCACCCAGGTGCCCCTTAATTAACTAGAATTTAAATAAAAACAGGCAGAACAAAAAGGGAAACCTTACAGGTTTGGTAGGCAGTAGATTCAGGGGTGCCTGGGTAGCTCAGTCGTTAGGTGTCTGCCTTCGGCTCAGGCCCTGATCCCAGGGTCTTGGGATCGAGCCCCGCATCGGGCTCCCTGCTCAGCGGGAAGCCTGCTTCTCCCTCTCCCGCTCCCCCTGCTTGTGTTCCTTCTCTCGCTGTCTCT